CGGCCTGAGCTGCATCACTTTTCATTGGCCCATTGGCGATATGAATTAACACATCCGACTTCTGCCCTGTAGTGGCGTTCACTAGCCCTCCGTTCTTCTCGACCCGGTACACGAGATCAGATCCACCAGTGCCTGCATCTATGTAAACAGTGGAGTTTTCATCAATTTCCTCACGCACAACCATCTTCGACAGTTCTGTGACCACCTTCTTCTCCATCCATCTCCTTATTGGCCTAGCTCCATACACCTAACCATACAACACAATAAAGACCACAAATAGTCAGCAGACAGACCAAACCGATATAAGAGATCAGCGCATTATTGACACTGATGAATTAGTGAAGAGACTTACCGGGTCATAACTCTCAGCAAGAATATAGTCCAAAGCAGCATCGGTGACTGCCAAAGCAATGCCTCTCTCAGCAAGCCGGACAGCAACATCTTTCATTTGGAGACGGGCCACTTTCCTCAACTGGTCATGTGAGAGTGGATCGAACACCACTATCTCGTCAAGCCTGTTCAGGAGCTCTGGTCTGAAGTGCTTTCTCACCTCCTGCATCACACACTCCCGAGCCACTTGCATTGACACTTTCCCAGTTAGTCCTGAAAGAAGATGCTCAGCACCAAGGTTTGATGTCATGATAATAACCGAGTTCCTAAAATCGACTGTCCTTCCTTGGCCGTCTGTCAATCTACCATCATCCAACACTTGGAGCAACGTGTTGAAAACAGCAACATGGGCTTTCTCCACTTCATCAAAGAGTATGACGCAATAAGGTCGCCTCCTCACAGCCTCAGTCAGTTGTCCTCCTTCCTCGTGACCAACATACCCAGGTGGGGCACCAATGAGACGAGACACCGAGTGTTGTTCCATATACTCTGACATATCAATCCGAACTAAGAGGTTTTCGTCATCAAACAACTGCTCAGCAAGAGCCTTAGCAAGCTCAGTTTTGCCAACCCCAGTTGGTCCAAGGAACAAGAATGATCCAGTTGGTTGCTGTGGCCTTCCAAGTCCTGCCCTTGACCTTAAAATCGCCTCAGCAACTGCATTGACCGCTTGGTTTTGTCCCACAACCCTCTTGTGCAACCTATCACCAAGACCAATCAACCTCTCCTTCTCATTCTGGCCAAGTCTCGTCACTGGAATCCCCGTCCAACGGCTCACAACTTCAGCGATGTGTTCTGGACCAACGTCCTCAGTTAGCATCACATTCTCTTCATGAGTTCCTTCAAGTTGGGCAATCGCAGATTCCACTTCTTGAATTGCCCCATATCTTAGATCAGCAGCTCTTGCAAGGTCATATCTTCGCTCTGCCTCCTGCAAAGCAAACATGAGCTCTTCTCTTTTCTGTTTAAGCCTACGAATCTCATCAATTCTCTCTTTCTCCTTTCTGTACTTCATTGTGAGAGGCTGAAGCTTATCCCTCAGGTCATCAAGCTCTTTCCGTACCTACAGAATCATAATTCGAGGAAACGATGTCAAAGACTCGTCCCAGAAGAAGATGCTAACAAGCAACAATTCCAGAACAATCATAGTTAAAGGGCTACATGCCAAAGAAAAAAGATAAATGTATCATACCTCCACAAGTCGAGCTTTACTGGCTTTATCCTTTTCCCTTTCCAAGGCATGAAGTTCAATTTCCAGCTGCATCCTCTTCCTTTCAAGGTTATCAATCTCCTCAGGTTGACTATCAAGCTGGACTCTCACATTGGCACAGGCCTCATCCACCAAGTCAATAGCTTTATCCGGTAAATGCCGACCTAATCAACCACACAAACACCACAAAATGTCATGCCAAGAACAAGACTTGGAAACCAAAAAATCTGATCAAGATCATGAGTCTTAACATACCAGTAATGTAACGAGCAGACAACTGAGCAGCATTGATAAGAGCTCTGTCTTGGATACGAACACCATGATGTCCCTCATATTTCTCCTTGAGCCCTCTTAGAATGCTAATGGTGTCAGGAACACTCGGCTCAGCAACATAGACTTGTTGGAACCTCCTCTCAAAGGCTGCATCTTTCTCAACATATTTCCTGTACTCTTCAAGAGTTGTAGCTCCAATGCACCGAAGCTGACCTCTAGCTAACATAGGCTTGAACAGATTAGCCGCATCCATCGACCCTTCAGTTTTACCAGCACCAAGAACCAAATGAATCTCATCAATAAAGAGAATCACTTTCCCTTCAGCTTCTTCAACTTCTTTCAACACAGCTTTCAATCTTTCTTCAAACTCTCCTCTGTATTTAGCACCAGCAACTAACGCACCCATGTCCAAAGAAATCAATCTCACATCAGTAAGACTGTTGGGAACATCTCCTTTCACAATCCTTTGTGCTAAACCTTCAACAACAGCTGTTTTTCCAACTCCTGGTTCTCCGATAAGCACCGGATTGTTCTTTGTTCTTCTCGAAAGAATCCTCACAACTCTTCGAATCTCCTCGTCACGACCAATCACAGGATCAAGCTTCCCAGCTTGCTCAACCAAATCTCTACCATAAGTCTTCAAAGCCTGAAAATTAGTATCCCCTGAAGCACTCTCCACTTTCTTCCCTTCTTTACCACGAAGCTTCTCAACCTCAGATTTGATCTTCCCCGATGTAACACCGACTTCGTTCAACAAATCCCTGATTTGAGAATCTTCGAGTAGACCCATAATCAGCTGATCTACAGCTAAATGAGTATCACCTCGTGACTTCTGAGCAGCTTGAGCACGGCGAATAACCTTGATAAGACTAGAACTCGCCGGAACATCATCTGGAGGAGGAGACTGTGAAGGAAGTTTCTTCAATGCTTGATTGATCACTCTTTCAGCAGATTGAGCTGCGTTTTCGCCGCCGGCACTAGAGATTGCTTGAGGGAATATTCCGGAAGGATCAGAGATCAAAGCACCTGCTAGATGCAGAGGAGTGATTTGAGCATGTCCTGCATTCACAGCTAGCTCATGAGCAGCAGCGATCGTCTCGTTTGTCTTGTGTGTGAATTTCTCTGGATTCATCTTCGATTAGCTTCTTCTGTAATCCCTGAAATACAAACCAATCAAACCCTAAATCTCAGAATCTATCATACACAATCCACAAACCCAGAATATGAACATGCACTAGAAAGAGCAAGAATCAAAGAACATGGGCATTACCTTAATCGATTTGAGAATTGGGTTTTTGTTCACGTAGATTTCTTCAACGAATCAGATGAT